AGCCGGGAAGGAAGAGGAGGCTGCGGCGCCAGCTTTCCTTAGCGGCGGGCGGAGGCGATACCTGAGGCCGTGGCGGAGGGCCACGCCCCCGCTCCCTCCCGAGGGGCCCTGTCTGTTCAGTGTCGCCGGCCGGGTCGGATCTTCGGATCCAGGGACGCGGGTGAGCAGGCGTCGCCAGCACCAGCCGGGTAGGGGAGCCCGCGGCGACCTGTGGAGGGACGGAGGAAGGAGGGCGGCAGTGGTGCGGGGACTCAGCCCTTTGTGGTGGGGCCCGCTACCGCGGCATCTTTCAAACCCAAAGCGCTTCCGCCGCGAGCGGGTGAGGGGCGCGGGCGCCTGGCGGTGCCCTTCGCACGGGCCTCAGCGCGGCCCCGGTGGAGAGGAGTGTTTCTGGCCGCGGCTTTGCGGCGCTTCGGCTTCCAGTTGTTTCACTTAACGTCTCGGGAAGCGTTGGCGATTTGCTAGGCCGAAGGAGAGCAATCCAGGTTTGTGTTATTCTGGTACACTTGAAGTAACCCAGAAAAGTCTAGTTTAACAGAGGGAAGTAGCGAATTTAAAAGGAAAGCAGGAACGACATTTTTCCACTGAATTCGTTAACTTCTTTGATCTCGTCCACCTGCCTCCTGAGAATTGAAAAACCACGGAGTTCTTACTCCGTGGTATTTTAAATTAATGTCTTTTCTTTTTTTAACTTAGGAACCAAAGGTTTATTTTCATAGGTATTTCGGAGAGAGAAATATTCCACGCCAGGTCTACAGATCTTTAAAATTGCTACTACCACAAAATTAGATCATTGAAAATATAAAAATTTTTCTACGGAGGGGGGCTGAATTTTGACTATTGTGGACATAAAATCACTTGGAATTATGAGTGGCAGTGTAGTTAAAGACTTTTTCCGACCTAAAGCAAATTGAAAAGTCAACCTAGTCCGTTTTCCAATCTTGGTGATACAGAATTTTGCTGTTTTTCCGTCACTTCTTTGTTGGTCTAGTGCTGTTACAATATCTAAATATTGAATGTGTTTAGGATGTATGGAAATTTCTAGAAACTTGAATGCAATCTTAAAAGCCAAACGATAACCTTAGGTTTTCCAGTGATTTTATGTAATTAGAAAATAGGTTTTTTCCTCCTTGCCCATGTCACTTAAAATAAGTGGGGACCAGAAAACAGATTGGTACTACTATCATAAAATATGAATGATAATTTCAAAGTCCTTTATTAACGGTCTTTTTCAATTTTGTAGAGTTTACATAGACCAACTAACATTTAAATAACTTGGAGTATTAGAAATGACAGATTGAGGGACCAGCAAATGAAGTAATGGTTACGTCGCTGAATTCCCACAGAGTGGACTGGGCCCTGGGCCCGGTGACTTAAAACTCACGTGGGGTGCATGCCCAAAATCCCAAGGGGAGATTGGAGGAGAAGGGATTCCAGTGTGGCCATCCACTTTCTGTCTGTCTCTGTCCTGAGGGCACTCATGTCCTATAGCAAAAATCTCTTTTTAAAAAGAAACAGATGTGTCAGGTTGACTTCGAGTAATTTTTCAAGTGTATGAAGGTTAATGTTCTTTTGTTAAAAATTAACAGTACCTAGATTGTTGTTTGTGCGAAGAAGGGAATATTATAGGCGATTTGGAGAAAATACAATCATCTAATGAGAAAGTCTTCCCTTTCTCTACTCCCATTCTCAAACCTCTGACATGTGGTAATTTGTCTTTCACAGGTACACAGGGGCTTTTACTAAGTTTTCCTCAGTTTACCTTTTCTTTTAAAAAGAAAATTTCAGAAGTCATAATCATTGTTAAGTAGCTATGCCCTTTATGACCTCGTATGTAAGTGTATGAATATCTGTGAAAAAATTTTGTCTACTGCTGCGATTGAAGAAAACAGCTATGTGGAAAGTGAAGTTCCAGGGAAAAAGTTTGGGGCAGTTTTACATTAGCCTGCCTTTCTCCAGCTTTCTTTAATAAATCACAGTGGAAAGCTGACCCAAATAAGGAAAAGTGATAGCCAACATAAAAGATGATATACTCCACCATTATTATACTGTAACAGGTGGGATCTCCTTTACGTTCTTGTTTAATTTTTTTAAAGAGAGAGAACTTATTAATTGTTGAGTAGTACAGAAGCTTATACTTGTGACCTGAATTTACTTAGTGTGTTGAATGTAATTAACCTGATGGAGCTATGTAGTCTTTTCAGTATGGTTAGAAAAAGAAAACACAGGGAAATGTACCTAACTTCTTTCTGAATAGAGCCCGGGAGAGGAGTGCTGGAACTTATCAAACTTGATCAATTCTTCAAAAGCCAAGGCGTTGGTTTTTTTAACTGATGCTTGTCACAGCTCTAGAAAAATCTGTCTTTATGGCAGTTTCCATTTGAAAGACCAGATAGTCTTTTCTAAAATTTGCAACTGCCAGGGTTGTTTTGATAACTGGAAAGCAAATTGTTTTCTGGCACCCATATTTTGTCCTCTCTTAAGGAGAAATCTCTCTCATTAACATGAAGAAAAGCTTGTTTTCAGACTAGAGCCTTCCTGGTTCTTAGTTTTTTTCTGCAAGTGACATTAAGCCTTCCTCATTGAGGTAGTTTCTTGTTTTGTACCATCAAAATATTCTCTAAAACTTTGAATGATTTTATTTTTTTTTTGAGAGATTTTCACTGTAGGGCGCGTGCGCTCGCCAGACAGACAGAGAGAGACATAGAGACAGAAAGCGAGAAATCACCCCTCAGGGGGGATGGTCATGCCGCAATCCCTTCTCCTCCATTCTCCTCCATTCTCCTCTCGGGATCTTGGGCACGCACGCACACGCGCCCGTTGTGAGTTTTAAGCCACCGGGTCCGGGACACGAACCGCGGTCGACTACGTGGGAGTCCAGCGACATAGCCATTACGCTAACTGCTGGTTCCCAAACTTTGAATGATTTTATCTAAAATACAGATTAGTCAGGATGAAAAGAGAACTGTTTGGAGACCTTGAAATTGGGATTTCAAGACATGGTATAGGTGTAGAGTTGGGGAGAAAAAAACCTCACCAATGAATGGTTTAATAAAAATAGTTGCAAACATTTATGTTGCAATGCTTTATGTGAGGCAACTTCCAAGTATGAAACTCACTAAATCCTTGAACAACTCATTGAGAAGAGTTGTTTTTATTCATATTTTACAGGAGAAAAAACAGACACAGACTGTAACTAACTTGAAAAGTTTACACAGTTAGCAAGTTGTAGAACTAGGTTTTCAGTCAAAGTAGTTTGGGTTCATGCTCTTAATTTTTTTTAAATATTCAACTTTAGAATGCCTTGGATTGTTTCCAACAAGTTTTCAGTCTTATTGACATTTGTAACATTAGAAGGTGTAGAACTAAGTTAATTACAACTTTGAACTACTTCCTACAGATGAATGACATATAGCTCACTGTCCTTCCTGAAAGGAGACCTTTCTACTACTACTATATAGTTCTATTTTATTTATTTCTGATAGGCAAGTTATGTACACATTCATAAGTTACAATATGATATTTTGATATATGTATACATTGTGCAATGGTTAAATCAAGGTAATTCTTTGCCTCACCTATTTTATGTGTGAGAATATTTAAAATCTTTTGTTGTAGCAGTTCTGAAATAATACAATACATTCTTATTAACTCTGGTCACTAATAGATCACTAAAACTTTGCTCCTAACTGACTTTTACCTAGTATGTATATAATTTCAGCTCTCAGCCTCCCCCCCATCCTTGATTCTTCCCTCATTTTTCATCCACAGATAAATTAATAGCTGATCAGTGTCATTTTCACAGTGATTTGTTTCTTTAATCCTCTAGATCTTGCCTAGCTAACATTAGAAAAGTTTGCATTATTTCTTTGTTTATATAGCTAATCATTGGAAGGTTAGTACAAATGATGAAGCTATGTGAATGTAAACTAAATTTCAGAGTAAATAAAATCAGAAACATACCTCCCCACCCCGCAAAAAAACCACACCTTTTGGTTTTGACTACTGTCAACCCCTGAAACCATTAAAAGTTTTTTAATATCAACATTTCATGCCTTTCTCTAATCTTTTTTTTTTTTTTTTTTTTTGGAGAGGTTTTTGCTAAAGGGCGCGTGCACTCGCCAGACAGACAGAGACATAGAGACAGAAAGCGAGAAATCACCCTCCGGGGGGATGGTCACACCGCAATCCCTTCTCCTCTCGGGATCTTGGGCACACACGCATTGGGAAGCGCCCCGCGTGAGTTTTAAACCACCAGGTCTGGGACGCAAACCGCGGTCGACTACGTTGGAGTCCAGCAACATAGCCATTACACTAACTGCTGGTTCCCTCTCTAATCTTTTTTTAATATCAGTATCGAGAATGTGTAACACAAATGTATTGCTACAGGTAATCTCTTTAATTATGAATATTACAGTAAGTATTTGCTTTGTACACATTTCTCTTTGCAGATAAACTTTTGGGCATATTTTGGCTCTTGCAGCCTGAGGACTTAACATACCTTTTTAATAATACTGTTATGTAGGAGAGTAAAGTAGGTAATTGAGAAAAATGCTTTAAGCTTTTGAAATACAAATTACTAGGTTGTGAAGAAAGTCATGTTTTTCTATGCAAAATGTGTCATGACTTTTTCAACAACTCAATATTTGTAAGTGTAATTTTTTTATCTTTATGGTTTTATAGTAAAATTGAAAAGACAGGTTAGCTCTAACAAAGATTTTCTTCATAGTCATATGGATTATTTAAGGGAAGAAAACCTGTTGAAATAATTAAAAAAAAAAAAAAAGCCAGAAAGAGAAAATGAAAAAGCATTTCTTGTGGGTAACAGTCACACTGCAGTCCCTTCACCATCTCACTTCTTTTGGTATTTTGGTCATGCACACACTTGTGCCTGGTATGGTTCTCAAGCTGCTGTGTCTGAGAATTGAATCACACAGTCAGCTATCGTGCTGGCCTGAAATAATTTCCTATAGGAGCTATTTGATATTTTTAAGAATTGTATTGTTACCTATACTGACTGCTTTAACCCTGATGCTCATTTAATGACTAAATACCTCTTTTGAAATACAAAATTCACAGAACATTAGAGATGTGGATGTCTTAGACTCCGCTGAATGTCTTTACACAGCATTGTCTTGCATCCTTTTTGTTCTTTTTGTTCTACAACAATGGAGACATTGTTGTAGTTAATAAAGTAGAAGGTGTTTGGAATCTATAGTAGCCTTTTCTAATGTTTTTATCCCAACAGATATTATTTTGGCAGAAATGGCCTATAAATAAAGTTTTATTGAAATAGTCATGTCTGGGGCCAGCCAATGGCTTAATGGTTAAGGCAGCTTATATTTCGTCTTTGTGTTGAAAAGAGAGTAATATACCTTTTGAAAGTTTATGTTTTAGAAAATAGGTCATTGAGGCCAGCAAGTGGTATAGTGGTGAGAGCACTGGACTCCCATATGACTGATCACAGTTCCAGTCCTGGACCTGG